GTCGGATTGTCGTCGGCGCACGAAGGCGAATGGGCGCGAGAGGACCGACCCCAACGCTCGTTGGCCGCCCAGCTGGACCAGCCCGTCCACCCAGCCCAGCTGCCGTTACATGGCTCACTCGTGCTGGACTCGTACTGTCGAAGCGACCCGCGATCACCTCAACGCTCGCCCCAACTGCGCTCGTCCCGCATGGCAGCGTCGATCAGGGGTCGCCCCAGGGCGGGGATGCTTGGGGAGGGGGAAGCCCTGCGGTCAGAGGGGCTACCCGGTCTTTTGTCGTCCTGCTCACGTGGCACATGAATCCCCCTGGGCCATCCGCTGGTGAGGCGGGGCCGCAGAGCCCAGAGTCCGCCGCGGGGCCGCGGGGGAAGTCGACGCGCAGGATGGGTGGGCCCGAGCTAGGAGGCGGGGGCAGGGCAACCGCAGCCCCCTCTCTCACCGCTGGAGGGGGCGGAGCGGGGTCGGCCTCAACTACGTGTGTCTCGGCCGAGGAGGTGTCAGAGATGGCGTCGCTGTGCGCGGCTGGGGCGGCACCGCCGCCGGCGGGTGAGTCGCGCGGGGGAGAGGTGCCCTGGGGAGGTCCTTTGTTGGCGGGGCGATCGGCGCCTGGGCTCGCCGCGGGCGGGCGGCTGTCGGGGGGCGCGGGCTAGGCCCGTCGGCGCGGGACTGGCCGGCCCCGCGCCGCGCGGGCGTCAAGGGGGGGCGCGCTGGAAAGGCCCAGTCCGGCGGCTCCGGCAAGGGGCCAGGGAAGGCGTGAAACTCGGCGGGCGGTGCGCGGGCGTCGACTTCACAGGAACCCCACAAGAGCGCCCAGCGCGCGACGGGGCGGGGAAGAACCGCGCAATAGGCCTGTTTGGTTGGCGCCCATCGCGCAGCGGGCTGCCGCGGGAACTGACGCAGAGGTGGGCGACCACGCGGGCGGCGGCGAGTGGTTTGCCATGCCAGTAGAGACAGCGGGGAGGAAGTTCGGGGCAACTCTGTCGCCGTAGACCATCAAGAAGGGGCGAAGTGTGTGGGGCCCCCGCTTGTCCGGGGACTCGGCGCCCCGAACGTCTCTGCCGTGCGTGTCCGCAAAGTCCCTCCAGAGGTCGTCCAGGGCCGGGTCAAGGTCGCGCAGGAAATCGACTAGCCTTGCCTCGATGGATGTTGATTCCGCGCGATCCTGCCCGGCTCCAGTGGCTGCCTGTTGGTTAAAGCGGCGGGTCTTGTTGCGGCGGCGCGGTTGGTTTTCAGATCGTGGGCCAGGGGGGGCTCGCCCGGCACGGCGGGGGCTGGGCGCGGCCTCGAAGTGGGGCAGCCTGGGTAGATCAAGCGGGCGTCACGGTCAAGGCGGGCGCCGACGGCGCAGGGGCGGGCGCCCCATGCGCGGGCGAGGCACTGGCGGCGCATCCACCTCGCATTCCACCTGCGGGACTGCCGGGCCACTGCGCGGTCTTCCCTGGCGGGGAGCGCTCCGGCGCCTGCGCCGCGCGCATCCTTCTCAGCCATTCACGCAAAGCAGCCCAGTGCGGGGGGGCCGGCCTGCCAGACGAGAGCTAGAAGCTAGGGGCCCGGGGGGGCAGCCGTCGCACGTCGCAATGTAGCGCCCGGTCTCCTGGGCCGCGTTCCCGAATCTGTCGTCGCCCAGCCGAGTAGGCGGGAGGGCGGCGCTGGCTTTCTGCGGGGCATGGAGGCCCGGCGCTTCCAAAAGGTAGTCCTCGAGGTCGACTGGGAGACCAGCGGGGGGCAGGGCCAGGGGCCAGGCGCGCGTGCAAGCGGGCGGCGGGGGGTAGGGCATCCGCGGGAGGGGCCCTAGTGAGGCGGCTCTTGGACAGCGCGAAGGCGCGCACCTGCTCGCGCAGGGTGCCTGCACGGGGAACTTGAGAGCCCTGCCTCTCCATTTCACGAACCCAGCCAGCATTGGCCGCTGAGCCACGTGCAGACCATCCCGTTGGCGTGGGCCTGTGGGCGGTTCTGCGCCAAGTGCAAGCGGATGGCGTCGTTGAGCCGTGTGCCCTCGGTGTGCCTGAGGCCAGATCGGAGGCGCTGGTCGCGCCGAAATCTTGCCACCTTCCGGTCCAGGCTGAATCGGGTGTCGCCGGGGGCCAGGTAGCTCGGGATCTTGGTCGCGCCTGGGAGTGGCGCAGGGGGCAAAGCCCTGTCCAATGGGACTTTGGCAAACGAGAAGCCTCCGCCGATGCATGCCAGCTCCGGAGGGGCGTCGTCGGAACCTAGGCCGCTGTCGCTGCCCGCGAGGTCACGGTGCAGGGCGCAGATGCTGCACGACGACCGGAAAAGGATGCCCAGGTCGGCGGGCTTCACGATCTTCTCGGGAACACCAGCATCGGGGCTTTCAGCTTGAACGGGAGCTTCTCCATGTCGGCGCAGGTAGTGGGGCCACCAACTTCGATGGCAACAGTGTGGTGGTGGGCAACCACCACCAACTTGCCCAATAGAGCAATGCAGGATTCCAGTCGGCTGTGCAACCTGCGAGTGTCGGCAAGGTCAAGACCCCATGATTCCGCGAATCGGGCACTGAAGTGGACTTGATCGTTTTGCCAAGGGCAGCGGGCCCCGATCATGGTTCCTGACCCGGAGGAGTCCCGGAAGGGCCATAGGTGCGCCCGCGGCTCGCCTTTCATGAACATCATGTTAATGAGTGCGCACCGGGCCTTCTCTGTCGACATGATCTGGCCGCTGGGGTCGAGCAGATCGACCCGGTGCTGGGCTGACTGGTCGTGGCCCTTTTACATAAAGCGGCCAAGGTGTCGAAGTCGGGGCAAACGAGATGGCCGGGGCAGCTTGTTCCAGCGGACCATGCTCGGGGGATCTGGTGCGGGAGCTCGGCGGGGGTGCAGCGCCCTTTGCTGTGCGGTCGCCGTGCGGTTCTGCCTTGGACTGGTGGCCGCGGGGGGAGCTCGTTGGGGCAAATCTGGCACCAGGGGGCCTCCCAGGGGATGCCCAGGTCGATCGCCCAGACCAGGGTGGCCCAGGTCATGTTGTAGACCAGGTTGCCGCCGTCCATGCCGAGCTCCACGTTGAACAGGTATCCCAGGTGGCTCCAGGCGTTCCTGTCGAACTGGGCGAGGTCGGAGGGGACAATTTCTAAGTTGTACTTGTGGGGGTGGAGCCCAGCGACTAGGAAGAGGACCACAGTCAGCGCGGGGTCGGTCAGGAGGTTCTCCAGTGCAGTGTCCAGCTGGCGGCCGAGGGCGTCCCAGCGAAAGTCATCGTGAATGGGGGAGGCTGTAGTACGCGCTGAAGTTTTTGGCGTATTCCTCCCTCTTTCTGGCAACTGCCTGGTCGATCTTGACCTTGGCCTGTCGGCTTCGTTGGCGGCTAGGGTGTCAGGCCCCTGCGGGACCCACGAGGCGAGGTCGTTGATGGGGTCAAAGGAGGAGTCGGTCAGTAGCTCGGGGGCGGTTGCCGGGGCTCTGGGGGGGGTAAAATCGGACAGAAAGACCCGCGAGGCGCCCGTAATTGGAGAGGAACCTCAGTTTGGAGTCGGTCATGGAGGCCATCATGCGGCCGCCCCCGATGATGCCTGGTGGGCATACGCCAAGTGTGAAGAATACATATTGTTTCAAAAGGGGCTCGGAGCGACAAAGAATTGCCAAATCGTCCCCAAGAGGGCCTAAATATGGTCGCGAGATTGCCCAGGACGGCCCAAGAGATGCCCGAACGCGATTCCGAAGAGCCCCAGCACGGCCAAAGAAAACCCCAAGACGGCCCCAGGAGGCCTACAGCCAAGACTGCTCAAGAGAGCCACAAGACAGCACACGTATACAGCCTCAAACCAAACTCTAAACACCTCCTAGAAAACGTTGTTTTTCCTCGGAAGGACCGTCCGTTACCCCCGTGACGAGGGGTTCGGTGGGGGGTGTGGAGGCGGCGCCCGTACAAGTTTGAATGCGCGTCATCGGCGAGGACAGCCAGCACATGCCTGCCAACGTGTGATCCCGACCGCTACTGAGGAGTGGGGGAAAGGAGGCAGAGGGGGCAACGGACATTACCCCCCCCCGAAGAAATCAAAAGAAAGCTTGAAGGTCCAAAGAGAGACCCGACATCCCCCTTCGGAGGTCCCCAGGAGAGCCCGCCTTTCGGCTTCCAGGGGCGATGACGACTCGCAGGAGACGTCTTCGACGGCGCCAATTCCAAGCATACGCCTCCTTTCCCTGTGGCTCCTGAGGAGGTTCAAAAATGGGGCCCTGAGGATACGAAAGGACCCCAGCCTGAGTTTGCATTGTTTGCAGCCTCTCGTCCTCGAGGTCATGTCCCTCAGGGTCCCACCCTTGAGCCGCCGAAGGACGGGCCGGGCGACCGTCTGTTGTAGTAATATCCCCAGTTCTCGCAAGAGATGCTGGCAGGCCCTCGCCAAAAGCCAACACCCGGCGCGAACGAGCTCTGGTGTTTCAACTCAAACTATTGCCCTCTCATCTCAATGGTCATCTACAGAGTCTGCGTTGTTTGGCTGCGCTCGTAGAACGCTTAACCAAATTATGTCGGCGTGCCGGTGATGGCTGGTCCTGCTGCTCAACTAATTCGCAAAGTTGGCCCCTGGGAGTGCTCCAAGACGATCAAGAAACCCTCAGAGGCCTCAAGACGGCATCAAAACTGTCCTCAGAGAGAAAGGGAAAGAGAGAGAGAGAGAGAGAATTGGCACATCGAGCTCCACGGTGTCCAGGTAGGCTAAGAGAACCGAGCGAAGTCTCCTCCTGGGGCGGTCCGACGATGGCCCAGAAAGGCCCCAAGACCCGCAAAAATCAGATGTAGCAGGAGGATTAGAAGAATAACGCGGTAGCCCTAGATGCCGGGAGTCAGTGGCCGCGGGCCTGGACACAAACGAACGATCGTTCAGAGCGGATGTATGCCACGTAATCCCACGCATGCGCGAAATACGATGCATGCTCACTGTCTGGAGCGACGAACATCAAAAACTAAAGACACTTGGGAAGACACATCCCAGGCGCTTCGCAAGAGCCTTCGCCCTATTCATTGACGAACCCCCCTCGTCCGAGGTCCTCCTTGATCACGACGCTGTCTCCCGGCCGCGGCCACGCTCCTCCCCCGGACACCTGCGCCGCGAGGCTGGGCAGGAGACCCTCTATGCGGTCGCTCGACTCGGGAGAGCAGCCCCAGCTGGGCGCCATCGTGCGCCCGGCAGGCGCCCCCTCGGCCGACAGGACTCCCAAGGCACACGAAGGTCCCCCTCACCCCCCCCTCCCTCCCCCCCGTGAGTTCGTAGCCCAAGGGGCCTGAGCCAAAATGGCTGCACAGAGATACCGCCGCGATCATCGTTACTCCGAGGCGCCCGTGCTAGCACGCATCGCCCGGCGGGGGGGACACACAAAGTCGCAGATATCAAATGTCCCTCGTGTCTGACTCGCGTATTGGACCAGGGCATGCGAGCGATTGGTCTCTGCGGACTTTTGCGAACGGCGAGTGAAAAACGAAGTGAATTTCGCGTGGATGCTTTTTAGTCTTCATTCCTGGCCAAAGAGATCCGCACGAAATTCACCTGGAAATCCGAAACGAAATTCTCCAGGACACTCCCGGCCCATATCGTTTTCCGAAAGCGATGAGATTGGCTGGAGCCCGTCTGAAGTGAAACGCAGCTCCTTCTCGACACTTGAAGTGCAATGCTACCAGATTGCTGACCGTGCGCCCCGATGCGGGCGGAGGATGATCACCGAGAGCCTCGCAGCCTCGGTGGCATTGGCGAGATCCGAGAGGGCAGCGCGGCCATCCCTAAGCCATGGACGGTGTGAACAGTTAGTGTACGGTAGGTTCGCGCGGCGTCGGCACGCGCGAAGGTTTTCGACCCCGCGTCTATGGTTCAACGTTGAATCGATCGCGGCCCCGATCGTTCAACGTTGAATTCCGTCGGGTCCAATGGCGTCACTGTGTCCATCGATGTTCCAACGTCGCAGAATTCAATGTTGAACGCCTTCGCCAGCGCCGCCTGCGCGCCATCGCCGCATGAACCTACCGTGCTTGCGTGTGCGGAGTCCTGCTGGGTTTCTCAGGCCTGCCTCCTTCTTACGGTTCGCGAGACAGGCGCGTGCTAGGCCTGCGTCGGCACAGTGATGGAAAGAGCGGCCCTCACTAGAAGCCCGCCTGACACAGAAAACCAGAAGAACTCATGAGACAGCTACGTCTGTGCGAATGTTCTTTTCAGTGCACGTCGTCACTGGGCGCTGGCAATCCAGCTAGCTTGCTGACACCCTTTGGTTGCTCACTTGGTCTCCCCTGAGGCTCCACTTGGGGCCGACTTGGTTCGTTCCTGCCTTCATGCGGCCTGCGCCCCCGTGGAACTCCAGGGGGGTCATCGTGCAAGGGGGCCTCCGTGCCTCATGCCATTGTCTCCTTGTCGTTCTCCTCATCATCCTCGGGACGAGGGCAAACTGTGGAGGCAGGACGCAAACTACGGGCGCAGAAGCCCAGGGACGCCATGTTATCTTAATTGCTGCGGCCCTGGGCCAAAGCACAAGGAGAGCAGACAAGGATGCAAGGGTAGTCTCGGTAATTTACATTCTTGGCGGCAAAAAGCCCGAATCGACTTTTTAGGATACTACGGAGAGTACAATAGAGAGTAGCTGCAACAACCCGCTACCGCGCCTGCACGGAGCGGGCGTACTAGAAGGCGCGTCTGTTGTCTGGGAGGGTTTTTCAATATTTCTAGGCTCCTCCCCATGACATTGTCGCTGGCAGTCGTTTCGGCCTCGAGACTGCCAAGATGGCGTCCCAGAAGACTTCAAAGACAGTTCAGATGACACCAAGACGGCCCAAGACGGTTCAGAGGCTCTTAAGACGGCTGAAGAGGCCCCCGAGACGACCCAAGAAGACTCCGAGAGGCACTCCAGGCGATCCTAAGCAGGCGCGAGAACATGCATGGTCCTTGCGTGTTTGACGGATTCTGCGCTTCTCGTCTGTTTGGGTTCCCGACCGCCCAAGCCGGCCCACGAGGGTCCCGAGATTAGCTCCAGGATTGCTGATGAGACTTCCTCGAGGGTCCCAAGTGGACCCCAAGATCGCCCAAGAGGCTCCCAAGAGGGCCCCGAGTCAGCCTTGAAGCGTACCGAGAGATCACCAACACGGGCACGAGAGGCCCCCAAAACAACCTGCAATGCGTCCGACGGGCCAACCGCCTCCCTAGAACAGCCCAAGAGGCCCCAAGAGGCCTCCAAGAGGCCCCAGGAGGCCCCCAAGAGGCCTTCCCCCCAGAGTCTCCCAAGAGGCCCCCAGGAAGCGTCAAGAGGGTCCCAATAAGCCTTTTCTCCTGCTCCTCCTCCTCCTCTTCATTTTCTCCCTTTCCTCCTCCTCCTCCTCCTTCTCCTCCTTCTCTTCATCCTCTTCCTCCTCCTCCTCCACCTCCTCCTCCTCCTCCTTCTCCCTACCGCGTCGACGAAGACGATGTCGGCATCGCGACTGTTTCAAGTTCAGACCACTCGCTGAACTGCCGTGGGGTGTGAACTCGCCCTCCTTCCTACCGCGCGGACGAAGGCGACGTCAAATGTACGGGCCGTCCTTATCAGACCACCTGTCGGCATTGCGCTGCTCCTACGCTCAGTCTCCTTCCTGCAGCGCTGTGGCACAAGCACCTTCGGCGGGGTCGGCCGCGGGCAGCTGGACACTATGCCACACATGGGGCCAGCAGTTTCTTCGGCACTACAGTCAGCCCGAATGATAAGGACGCACGATGAAGATGCAAGGGCCTTGGAAGGCCACGTCGACACTTTGCGAGCGGAGCGCGGCCAGCAAAAGCGGCCAAGGATCGGCCGAAAGGGAAGGATGCAAAGGTAACCCTGCAAAGCCGTTCATCCTTAATGTGCGGGTTGACTGTACTCAACGTGGGGGAAGCGGATCCTGAGTGAAACGGGTCCTGGACATTGGGGCCTCTCCCAAGACGAATTTTTCACCCAGAGTCGCTTTCTGACAGTCCCCGAGCCCGTGGAGGGCCTCGAACGCCCGAAAACGGCGAAAATCACAGGCCCCGCTTCCCTCAGGACCCGCTTCCACCCTGGCGAACTACTTTCTCCGACGGGCCCAACTGGCCGGATCTGGCCCTGGCCAATTCCCGATACTTTTTCATATGCTTCACCAGCCCCACGACCTTCGGGCGTGTGCTAATGGGGGGTGACCTAAAACGGGGGTGAAGAAAAGGGTCCTTCAGGGCCTTGAACCCATAGTGGTTCTAAAAACGGCCCTTAATGGCCCATTTAGGGCCACTTTCTTCACCCCCATTTCGGTCACCCCATGTTGCCACCCGCCCGAGTCCGTCTATACTACATGTGAAAATCACAGTCTGGTGATCCGCCCGATCCGGCCCTGGCTACGCGGTGGTCATGCGGCCGATGCTGCGAGCACATATGCAATTCGCCACTGTGCTTGCCACGTTGGGGCGTCAAGACGCCCAGTGTCAATCGGCCATTCTGGGTTCAATATGGCCTTGAGGTGGCTCCCGATGCATCAAGATGGCCTCCAATATGGCTCAAGATTGCTCAAGATGGTTCATGACAGCGTCTGGCATACCTCCGAGAGGACCCAAGGGGGTCGTCAGACGGCTCTGAGTAGCTACGAAACTTTCCAAGGAATTCCCAATAAGCCCAACTCGCCCAAATACATAGAAAGAAAATCAAACACCAAACAGCTCGCTCCTTGGCCCCCCGCCAGCCCCACGCCAAGGGGCGAGCAAATATACGGGCGCAGCACCGCGCTGCATGCGTAATCTTCGGCTGGGCCAGGCAGGGCAAGACCCAACACTGCATCGCGTGGCGCGTAGATGCCCGCACCAACCACGACTCCTCTCAGTCCCTACCTCCGACCCCCCATTTCGCCGACTTCGCTTCGTCCTCGTCCTCCGTCCTCCATCCCACCCATCCTCCCCCCGTCGCCCCGTGCGTTGCAAATGGCGCTGCGTGGTTACGTCTGGGAAATTGCCTTACCGCCTGGCCTAAAACTGCCAGCGAAATATCCTCACACCCCTCGCTTGAAACTGCCACCAAAATATCCTCACTCGCTTGAAACTGCCAGCGAAATATTCCTCACCGCCCCTGGCCTAAAACTGCCTGCTAAAGATTCTCACCCCCTGAACTTAAAACTGCCAGCAAAATACCCTGAAACGCCTGGCCTAAAACTGCCAGCGAAATATGATCAATCCCATGACGTGCGAAATATCCTCACACCCATCCCTTACAACTGCTAGCGACATATCATCACCCCCCTGTCCTAACACTGCCAGCGAAATATCCTCACCGCCCTGGCTTAACACTGCCAGCGAAATACCCTCACACCCCTCAGCGAAGTATCCTCACCCCCATGGCCTACATCTGCCAGCAAAATATCCTCACACCAATCGCTTGAAACTGCCAGCGAAATATCCTCAGACCCCATCGCTTGAAACTGCCAGCTCAATATCCCCCAGCCCCTGACTTAAAATTGCTAGCGAAATATCCTCTCACCCCTCGCTTAGAATTGCCAGCGAAATATCCTCACTCCCCTCGCTTGAAAATACCACCGGAACATCTTCCTACCCCGGCCTTACAACTGCCAGCGAAATATCCATACACCCCTCGCTTAAAACTGCCAGCGAAATATCCTCACCCCCTGTCTTAAAACTGCCACCAGAATATCCTACACCCCCTGGCCTAAAAATGCCAGCGAAATTTCCTCACATCCCTCGTTTGAAACTACCAGCGAAATATCCGTAACCGCCTGGCCTAAAACTGCCAGCGAAATGTCCTCACCCTCTGGCCTAAGGCTGCCAACAAAATATCATCACACCCTTCGGTTGAAACTGCCAGCGAAATATCATCACCGCCGCTGGCCTAAAACTGCCAGCGAAGTATCCTCACCCCAATGACCTACAGCTGCTAGCGAAATATCCTCAAAACCCCAGGCGTGACAGCGCCAGCTAAATATTTTCACCCCCTGGCCTAAGACTGCCGGAGAGATATCCTCAACCCCCTGACTTCAAACTGCCAGCGAAATATCCTCACACGCCTCGCTTAAAACTACCAGCGAAATATCCGCACCCCCTGGCCTAAGACTGCCAACGAAATATCCGTACACCCCTTGCTTAGAATTACCAGCGAAATAGCCTCACCCCCTGGCCTGAAAATTCCCAGCGAGATATCCTCAACCTGCTGACTCAAAACTTCCAACGACATGTCCTCACCTCCTGACGTAAAACTGCAATCTAACGACTTTGGTGATTCAGCTCAGTTCTGTCAGTCAATTCTGTCAATCAGATCTGTCTACTTCCCGGAAATCTTACGGACTGCGTCCGTAAATGACATTTGCCTTCTCGTCTTTTTCGCTTCCGACTGGCTTTTGAAGCCGCATGATGGCCCCAAGGAGGGGGGCCCAAGAGGCCTCCAATGCGGCCCCAAGAGCGCTCCAACAGGGCACCAGAAGATAAATCTTCGGCCTCCCAGGGGGAGGGGGTGGAGCTAGTTAAGAGGGCGCGCCGCTGAATAACTCCAAGGTGGGGGGGGGGACCCCTCCCCCCCCCCTTTCCTCGATCCGTCGTCGGGGACCCCCCCCCCTCACCTTTCCTCGATCCGTCGTCGGGCCACCCCACCCCCCCTCCCCCCTTTCATAAAGGGGGGGGGTCCGAACCCCTTCCCCTCCCCTCCTTTGGCCGCACCCCCCCCCCCCTTTCGCCACGCCGCCCCCTGACTCCGGAACCCGACCCCCGCCACCCCTGCCCCTAGTCCTCACCCTAACCCAGAACCCGAATCCTAACCCCAACCACTAACCCCAGCCCCAAACAGTACCCACCAATCCTTATTCACTACCCACTACTGGCTACTCGCAATCCGCTACTCACTTCTCACTACCCCCTCCTCACTACTCACGACACACTACTCACTATTCACTACTCACTGCCCACCACCCACTACTCGCTACTCACTACTCACTACTCACTACTCCCTCCTCCCTACTCACTACTCTCTACTCACTCCTCACTACCCAGTACTCAGTACTCACTAACTACACACTACTCCCTACTCACTACTCACTAATCACGACTCATTACCCACTACCCACGATCCACTACTCACTACTCACTACTCATTGCCCAAAATCGCTACTCACTACCCACTACTCGCTACTCGCAACTCCCTACTCCCTACACAATACTGACTACACAATACTCAGTACTCACTACTCGCTACTCCCATACTCGCTAATCAATATTCACTACCCACTCCCCGCTACTCACTACTCACTACTCACTACTCCCTACTCACTAGCCACTACATAGTCTCTAGTCACTAGTCCCAACTCACTAGTCACTAGTCACTAGTCACTACCCACTACTCACGACTCACTGATCGCTACTCACTACCCACTATTCGCTACCCACGTCTTACTACTAACTGCACACTACTCCCTACTCCCTACTCCCTACTCACTACTCACTACTTACTACTGACTACTCGCTACTCCCTACTCGTTACTCACTAATCACTACCCACTACCCATTACTGACTATTCTCTACTCACTACCCACTACTCACTACGCCCTACTCGCTCCTCACTACTCACTACTCGCTACTCCCTACTCGCTACTCACTACTCACTACTCACTAACCACTGCCACTACCCACTACTCTCTCTATATATATGTATATATCACTATCCACTACTCACTACTCACTACGTACTACTCAGTACTCACTAATCACTACTCACTACGCGCTACTCACTGCTCGCTACTCACTACTCACTACTCACACCTCACGACTCACTACTCACTACTCACTACGCACTACACGCACTACGCACTACCCACTACTCAATACTCACTGATCACTCCTCGCCACCCACTACACTACCTACCCACTACTCACTACCCACTACTCACTACTCCCTACTCCCTACTCAGTACTCACTACTCGCCACTCGCTACTCACTACTCACTACTCACTACTCGCCACTCACTACTCACTTATCAGTACAAACTACTCACTATTCTCTACTCACTACTCCCCACTCCCTACTCCCTACTCGCCACTCACTACCCACTACTTACTACCCAATACTCACTACTCATTACACACTAACTCACTACTCACTACTCACCACTCCCTACTCCCAACTCCGTGCTCCCTACACACCTTCCCCGGCGCAGGAAGGAAAAACGAGAGAGGCCCCCCCTCCCCGGCTCCCTTTCCGGCGCACAGGGGGGCAGGGCGGGGGGGTCCGACCCACCCCCCCCCTTTCCAGCACCAAGGAGGGGAGGGGGGGGGGGTCCGGACCCCCTCCCTCCCTTCAAGGGGGGGGGAGGGGGAGGGGTTCGGACCCCCCCCTTTAAGGTGGGGAGGGGGGGGGTTCTGGAACCCTCCCCCCTTGAAGGGGGGAGGGGGGGGGGGGGTTCTGCAACCCCCCCGTCCCCCTTTAGTGTATATTCAAGGAGATCCACTGGCTCAGTTTCGCTAGTTAAGCCCCCCCTTTCTTGATCGAGGGCCTTCCAGATGACCTGAGAAGGCCTTCCAGGGCCCCCAAAAGGGTTCCCAAAGAACCCCAAGGGGCCCCAAGATGGCCCCACGAGGGTCTCAAGAGGGCCCCAGGATAGCTTCAACGGCCTCCAAGATGGCCTCATGGCTCCAAGAAGCTCCCCGAAGTCTCGAACTTCACCATGGTCGGCATCCCTGCTTGGCTATATGCTTACATGCGCCCCTCATCCACACAGCCCTCGTGGGCATCGCTTCTGGATGGGCTGGTAGGGCTAATCTTACTCGAAGCGTCAAGACATCTTTACACAATGCTGCCAGTCGACCTCCCCCGCCTGACGCTTGTGGAGGCCTCCTAGATGGGGTCCCAGTCGATAGGGTTGAAGGATCGGACCGCATCGCCAATGCATCGCCGATGTATCGGAGATGCATCGTCGACGTCGGCGATGCATCGCCGACGTCGGCGTGGAGAAAAATCTGGCTCCGCATCGAGCCACATCGCCGATGCTTCGACGATGCGGCGCGACCCTCCGAGCCCATCCACTGCGAACTCATCTGGGAGGCCGAGAGAACCTGCAAAACATCAGAACTGAGAGGGGAGAGGAGGAGGAGGAGGAGGAGGAGGAGGAGGAGGAGGAGGACGCAGGAGGACGCAGGAGGACGCAGGAGGACGGACGCGGAGGCGGGAGGAGGACGACGGAGGACGAGGATGAGAGGCCTGGCGGTGCGGGGGCTCCTGGCGCGGAGGGCCGCGAGCTTCGCCTTCTTGCGCGCCCTCAGCTCGCCCTCCGGGCACATGTGGCAGTGGCAGCACGCCGCGCCGTGGACGCACCCCCCGGGCTTGCCGGGGGCGCCCCCAGGAGGGGGGGCAATGGGCGAGCGGGGGCGCGCAGCGTGGCCCGAGGCACGTGCGCGGACGAAGGGGCGGGCGCCCGCCAGGGGACGTGCAGAAAAATCACCAGGAGAAAAAGAAAATAGCAGCGATAGGAAGAATAAGCAGAAAAAGAACAATGTGAATAATCATAAGAAGAAAGAGAAGAAAAGGAAAGAAGAGCCACGACATCTGGGGGATGTCGTGCCCCTGGCCACACATCCACGCACCCCTCGGCCCTCGCCTCTCTAGGTGGCGCCGTCCGATCCCCGCCCCCCACCATCGATTCTCCTGAATCGATGGGCGGCGGAGGTAGGGTTTGGATTTGGCAACATGCTCATGGAATCCCGAACCCTACCCCCGCCGCCCATCGAATTGCATGAATCATTGACCGGCGAAGGTACGGCTCGGAGTTCACTGCCGAATCCCCCCCCCCCCGTGGACGCACCCGAGGCTTCCAGAACCACCCGCAAGGCCTGCACCGCCCAGTGCCGTGCAACTCGGACCCCGCGGAGGCCTGCCAGGGTTAGGTCGGGCATGTCCACCTACAGGCGGATTTGGGACGAAGAACTAGACATACCTCAAAACATGCGCGCCAGAATACTGCACAAAAATCGAAGAATCGTCCCCAGACTACTTTTGAAAAATATTCCTCCGGTAGAGGGGCACGCCCGACTTCATGCCAGAGACCTCACAGAAAAGACGCACGCGCCCAGCCACGTACATTGACTGCGGCCCCCCAGTCCGCGAGGCCAGCCCCGAGGTACCAGCCATCGCGCAACGAACACTTGCAGACCGACGTGGACTCGGGGACGTGCGCCTCCTTCTTTCTCGGCGGCGAGCGAGGGGGGAAGGGGGAAGGAGCAGGCCATCTCAGAAGGCGGCGGGGCACCCCAGAAGCCCTCCGTCCTGTGCATATCCGGGGAAGGCGTAGGACGCTTCTCATGAGGCCAGTAAGCCTTCCGAGCCTCCTGACAAGGCCCGCTCACTATTCCAAATACCTGATTCATCGTCACCCGGGTCCAATTTTTTTGAGGCGCCTTTTTTGTAACTGGGGGGATCCGGTGTATTAGGACGTTTTCTTTGGATTGGAGCTTAGGGGGTCCGGTTTATCAAGGCGCCCGGTCGAAGAGGGGGGTCCGGAGTATTGGGTCGCATCTGGAGGGGGGTCTGGTGTCTTGGGGGGGTGCCGATGAATAAAGGATTTGGAGTATCATTCCCCCCTGGCCTCGCCGACGACACTTCGGGTGTTGCTAGAGGTGCCCCTGGCCCAAGGTGCCCCTAGCTCCTCGCTCCAGGTTGGAGCCTCTGGGGTCCTCCGGGCCTCGTGAGGGGCCCCCTGGAGGCCGTCTGGGCCGCCCCGAGAACCCTGGGGGTGCCTCGGGCCAGGGGTACTTCTGGCAGCACCCGACTTTTTGCTCCTGAGCCTGCGGCAGCTGCGCTGGGTTCGGCGGCTCAGCTGGCAGCCGCACGGCGCCCTCCGGCGACGCCGGTGCCGTGGCCGCCGCGCTCTCCTCGTCGGTCGTGCTGGCGCAGGACCAGGAGGCGGAGCCCTGGCGCGGGGGGGCGGGCCTCCGCACCCCAGCCCTCCCCTCCTCCCTCCTCTCCTCTCTCCTCCTCTCCCCTCCTCCCTCCTCTCCTCCCTCCTCTCTCCTCCCTCCTCGCCTCCCTCATCTCCTCTCCTCTCTCCTCTCTCCTCCCTCCCTCCTGTCCTCTCCTCCTCTCCTCTCCTCCCTCATCTCTCCTCTCCTCTCCTCCGCCTCCATGTACTCCTCGACTGAGTATCGATTAACCGATCCCCATCCCCAGCGGCGTGGCCCGGGCCCCACTGACCGACTTACCCCCCTAGATGGGGATACAGGTCGCTCCCCTCGGGCTTCGAGGGGTGCATCCCCCAACTGGGGGTGGTAACTTGGGGGGGGGGGTCTCGAAGGGAATGGGGATGGGGATGGGGACTGGTTATAAACGACACCGATCTACGGCTCTCGCGGCACGTGCTCCTCCCTCTCCCTCTCCCTCTCCCCTGGCTCCGCCCGAGCTGGGCACGGCTCCTCCCGGATGCGGCGCGCCTGCGCACAAGGAGCTCAGACAGGGTCGCTCCCCGCCCGACACGGGCCGACCCGGCCACCCTGCCCACCGCTGGGTCGGGCATGTCCTCCTGCAGGCAGGTTTCGGATGACGGATACATGCAACCAGCATTCAACCATAATCAAACAACAAACAAAAACAAAAAAAACGCCACTAGACCAATTCTCTGCTATTTTTCCATCTTCCTCCTGCAGAGGAGGACAAGCCCGATGTCAGCCTACAGCGGCCGCTGGTACGCCCCCAGGTGCACCGAGTCCCCGAGGCTCCCGCCCCTCCAGACGGGGACCCGCCCACACTGCAGACCGCGGCCGCCAGATCACCCAGGTCCACCGAATCTACGAGACTCCTGCGCTTGTGAGCACGACGGGACAGGACTAACAGAAGAGAGCATCACAGAACATGGCATGGCTGAGCAGAACACAACAACTGAGCATAGGATGACAATTTACAAAACACAACATAACTCAGCATCACCTAACAAGGCACAACATCGCATAACAACGAATGCTCTGACAAGACGGAGAAAATCTAGAAACATCCAACAACCGTGCGATGATTATCGAAGACGTCAGGAAACGTCCGAAAATCTTCCAGCCATTTCGCCGGTTAAACCGAAAGATAACCCTCCTGATAACTAATCCCTGCTCCCCGTCTACCATGATCGTGGTTATGTGAATGGTGCGATTGCTATTCCAGCCACTGTTCGACACTCCCTGTGATCGAGGTACACGCAGAAGTGATGGAGTGAGGGAATTGAATCAGAATCCGCCCATGGTTTGTGGCAGAAAGTCCTAAGTAAGGACTAGGGGTCGTTAAGGCCCGGGGCACAAAACCCTTTCTGAGGGTTGCTCCAAGTCCCTTATTAATCGTCTCCCGGGTTCGGCTTGTTAAGGCGCTTTTTTTGTAACAAGGCGGGTCCGGTTTATTAGGGCGTTTTACTTGGATTGGAGCTTAGGGGGTCCGGTTTATCAAGGCGCCCCGTCGAAGAGGGGGGTCCGGAATATCAGGTGGCATTTGGAGGGGGGTCCGGTTTTTTAGGGGGGGGTCGATTGATAAGGGATTCGGAGTAAGGCGACGTTGGCACTCGTGGGCAAGCACCTGTAATTCTATCCTGCTGCCCCTCCCTGCGCAGGGGGAGCCGCTCGCCCCTTCGGTGGGCCCTCGCTCCCTCCCTCTTCTCCTCCTCCTCAACCCGCTCCTCCTCCTCCTCCTCCTCCTCCTCCTCCTCCTTCCCCCCCTCCTTCTGCTCCTTCTCCTCCTCCTCCACCTCCTCCTCCTCCTCCTCCTCCTCCTCCCTCCCCCCCTCCTCCTGCTCCTTCTCCTCCTCCACCTCCTCCTCCTCCTCTTCCTCCTCTCCATCCTCCTCCTCTCTCCTCCGTCCGCCTCCCATTCCTGTCGTTCATCTCCTCTGTTCTCGAATTCCTCCTCCTCCTCCTTCTCCTCCTCATCCCTCCTCTCTCATCGTCTCTGTTCCTGATCCTCCTCTAGGTATCATCGTTCTCCTCCTCCTCCTCCTCGTCCTCCTCCTCCGACTTCCTCCTCCCTCTCCCTATCTGCCCCTCCCTCCCCCTTCCCCGCCCACTCCCCCTCCTCCCCCTCCTCCACCTCCTCGTCATTGACCGTCGGGGAGTTTGAGGAGAAGGGAATGCTCGGGTCGCAAAATGGGCTCCCCATGAGCAAGTAGCCTACACTGGTGGATGAGACAGCCTCCTCCTCCTCCCGGATCAGGGGGAGGGGGAGGACGAGGGGGGGGAGAGGACGACGACACGAGGGAAGAGGAAGACAAAGCGGACGAAGACGACGACATCCGCTTCCGAGGGGGGGGCGACGGGGACGAGTGGGTATCCCTTCTCCTCAACCTGGTTTCCCTCGTCCTCCCTCCCTCTCCCCCACCGATGGCCTGGCGTCTTGGTGGTCGTAGTCATCGTCGTCCTCATTATCCTGCTTGCCCTCCTCCTCCTCCTCCTACTCTTTCTCCTCCTTATCCTCGTCCTTTATGGGGGAGGGGAGACACCCCCGAAACCCGAGGCCGTGAGGAGACACCGCGCCGCGAGGAGTCGCGACCGGAACTCTTTACCGCATTGTGTGCCCGACCATGTGCCGCCCCCGCCGGACAATTACATAGTTCGGCCTCTCCCGGCAAACTCGAGCGCGCGTGCGGATCGCCTCTGCCGCGCTGCGGACGAAAATTGTATGCCCGGCCTTGAGGGCCGAAACGCTTGACCGCATTGAGCCCGAGACAGGAGCGGACAGAGCAGCAAGAACACGCAGTGTTCTTTCACGACGCCCCCAAAGCCAGGGGTGCTCGCCCCGATCCCCACCCATCTCTCAATCCTCGGCCCTCCGCCATTCAAGGCCGGCGGCGCGTACAAGTGGGTATGACCATGGGGGGCGCCCCTCCAAGAAGGCAAACCGCCCCTCAGCAGAAACCATCCTGCCCTCTGAAAAGCCTCGAAGGCGGGGCCGATCCCCCTTCGCGCGACAGGCTCACGTCGAGGTGACGTCGGCGGTGGATTCTGAATCCGCAACCCTGCAACATGCCCGCGCTGGGGTCGCCGCCGCGTCGACGGGGCGCCAAAACAGCGCAGAACGCCGCCCCCCTCCACCCCCCCCGAAGCCGCGGCCCTGAAGGCAACTCGCAGGATGCCCGCACTGGGGTCGCCGCCGCGTCCGCGGGGCTCGGCCGAGGTCCCCCTGCGAGGCCTCCAGGATCGCCCAGGAGAAAAAGCGCCCCGGGAGAGGTCCCCCCCGCCCCCTGGGCGCGCCGCCGACAGGGGCCCCGCGGGCCCCGCGCAGGGCCTGCCGCGAGAAGGCCGTCACGGCCGTGCCGACGCACCAGGTCTTGCAGGCGGTCATGGCCGGGCCGTCGCCCTGCTCCTGGCGGCGCGGCACGGCGCGCGCCCCGCTCGCCGAGTCGGCCCGCCTCGCGCCGCTCGACGCGCGGCCGCCTGCCGCGCGCGGCCTGGCCAGGGAGGCAGCGCGGCCCCAGCCCGCGCAGGTGTGGCGGCCTTGTGGTGTCCCCCCTGGGGTGGCCTTGCGCATTCACCGAGAGGGCCGTCGGGCTCGGGATCGACACCCCAGGCCTCAGGTTGCGGCTCCTGGGTCCAGATTCCGACGCCGTGGCCTTTCGAGTCGCCAGCCCCTGGGTCGGTCGACCGCTTCCCTGATGCAGGTTGCCAGTCCAGGATCACTGGTATTCTTGACCCCGTGGCCCAGACACGTCCTCTGAAGCGGAATGGTTGAAGAACAACCCCAGCGTGATTTCTTCAATTCGCTATAACTTGAGCAGGGACCTACCGTCTCGGCATTCCGATAGGATCTGATAGGCCTACCACGACATGTTCTTAGAACCCAAATATGTTCTAATACCAAAAACCATGTTCTTAGAGCATAAGCCCGATGTGATAAAACAGGACAGCCCCAGCCAGAAATGCTCTGAGAACATCTCGTGCAAACCACAAAAGGCTCTTAGAACATTTTCTGATGGGGCTATAGGCGAGCCAAGACGTTTCGCCACTGCTGAGGGCAGGGCCGGCGGGAGAGGAGAGAGAGAGCGAGAGCGATAAAGAGAGAGAGAGAGAGGAGACCCTCCGACGGCCGCCGGACAAGCACGAGGGACCACGCACGTCCAGAAGCCTCGATCCCCCTCGATCCTCGATCCCCCTGCACCTCCTCGTCCTCCTCCTCGTCCTCCTCCTCCTCCTCCTCCTCCTCCACCCTCTCCTCCTCTTCCTTCTCCTCCTCCGCCTCCTCGTCCTCCTCCTCGTCCACGCTCCCCATACTAATTCGATCTGAGGCAGCGTCCGCTATGCGGCTCGGCCTCACGACTGTGTGAACAGACGGCTCCCTTTTGCAGCACCGCGGACTGCTGCACGGCCGGCAAAACAGCGGGGGAGGGAGGCCGAGGTAAGTGGGCAACCAACCCTGTCTGGCGTGGTTCGTGTGCACCTCTGAAGCCGTTTTTACAAGCCGAGCATGAACGCGCCATCACAGGAACGATGTTCCAACAAACCTGGCCCTCAGTGAGACCCCGAACGAGGAACCTGGCACAGCGCGACACGCCCACGTCGCACGATTGCAGGACGCCTTTCGTGGGTGGTCCTTCCTGTGAAACATTAGCGTGGCAGAGGCATCGCGATTAACACCCTTACATACTATTCCCACTACCTTCCGACTGCGTAGGCGTGGCACCTCGTCATCAAGGAAGCCATCGATGAAGGTGTTCTTCACCTAACGCGTTGATAAGCTTGCTGGAGAGGTGGCAGCCAGAGGCTGACCGAGGCGGACAAGTTCAAGACAATCCAGCAGTGCAAATCAACATAATCGCTTCCGTCCTGTCTACCTCCTTGTGTACACGTCAATACTCCATCCCTCTCTCTCTCTCTCTCTCCACCATCCCCCCGTTTCTCTCTCTCTCTCTCTATTTCTTTCTCTCTGTCTCTTGCTCTGGTGCTCTCATTACCTCTACACGTGCACCTGTGTAGAGTATGGAAATGCATACATGTCTACACATTTACGTACGTAGATATAGATGTATATACACACGTCTCCGACTCTCCCTCACGTTCTCTGACTCTCTCTCTCTCTCTCTCTCCCTGTCTCACTCGCTCTTTCTCGCTCTCTCTCTCTATATATACATCGCTCTTTCTCTCGGTCTCTCTCTCTCTCTCTGTCTTCGTGATGACCTCTATCAACCAACAGGCGAACATGTGGGAGGGGTGAGATACAGGACAGCGACTGGTTCGAAAACATTGGTGGACTCATGCACGCGCGAGGTAATACACCTAGGATGGGCACATGTATGGCTGCCCCCTCCCAGTCGACGGAACAGAAGACGGTGGATGGAAGGGGGCAGGCGTCGGAGACGAAACCGAAGGGGTAGAGAAGACCAAAACAACGCCCGCATACATCACTGATGCGACATCGCGCAATCTCATCCCCAAGCTCACCCCCCATCTCGCCATCGCTCGGACGTCCATTCACCGTGGCGTCGTTGATTTCGTGCGTGTATGTTTCGCAAGGTGGTCCCAAATGCTCCTCGATGGTCCCCGCCAGGAGAAATGCACACGTTCGAGCTATGCCAAACCGTTGGGCAACATAACCACGTGTGTTCGCTGCGGCGAGCACGCGCAGGAACGGCGAAGGCTCCAGCGGGCCTGCCAACGTCCAACAATTCGAATAGGCAGATAATGTTAGCGGGCAGTAACCCGTGGCCCTGACAGGGCTGTGGGACTAAAGAAAGCTAGACACGTCTGAACACATTGGCCTCGCCGCAGAAATGGCAACACTGGAACAGTGGAAACATCACCCACTCTGCAATGTCAATCAACAATCGCACGACCACTTGACAGAGCCACGTGCAATGCCTCATGCGCATTGACATTGAGAATGAGACGTCCCCCTCCCGTATACACGTTGTCAACTGTTCGGGTTAAACGTGGCGCCGAAACGACAATCTGAGATCCATCCGTGTACCTGCTGGAGCCTTGAACCTCCATCACCATCACATGAATCACCGTCTCGGGTGAATACCACATCTGTGAAACTTCTATAAATCTTCGACGTTACAGCCATCTCCAACATTTTCCAATATTCAAACCCTGCTGTACTGCTTCCATGCCATGCTAGGGGCCAGACCATCCAAACATCAACCTAATTATGTCAATGCCTAACACGGCACCGCGATGTTCAAACACGCCAACCTTTCATCCGCGAGGCTGTTTGACATTCCGCGATCTGAGACACCCTGCTGAATAATTCCTAATCGATAAGACAATTTGAAACAAACAACAAAAAATCGGTTCCGTCAGGGTTGGAATTGCTGAGATTGGGAGCAGACACGCTGTGTATGATGGCATCATACGTGAGTTCAGGGCTAATTCATGACCTCCTGCTCCTCCTCCTCCTCCGCCTCCCCCCCCCTGATCTCCCCTCCCGTCCTCCATCCTTTCCCCCCTTCTCCGCTCGTCCTTCCTCAGTCCTTTCCCATGTACGCAATCTCCCTGCCGCACCACAAGACGTGTCCGCAAGCCGGGCTGGGCATGTCGATCAAGCCATTCAAACCGTTTATCTAATAAAAAATAACTACACTCGGTGACCTACGTCAACGACTTACGGAAACGTTGAGGGCGCTGGGAAACATAGAAGCGGCTCTCTCGCCAACGCCGCACACCCTTCTTGGAAAAGAGCGTTTCCAAGATGAATAGCAGGTGATTTCGACATGTGACTCTCGCCTTGGCGCCGAGCACATCTGTTGGAGGGCTGGCGGCGTTCCAAAATGCGGCTCTCGCCCAGCGCCAAACACATTCGCTTGACAACAACTTCCAGCGATTGCTGACCCAGCGGAACGGAGCCTGGGGAAACTGAAAGGCACCAATGCCACGACTCCCCAGGCCTATCCTGGGGTGCGTTCTCATGAGAATTTTGAGCTGAATCCAGCCGTGGCGACGAGGGCCTCCAGGGAGGGTAGTGGCATGGGTACCGTTTGCTCCTCAGAAACTATCGGAGTTAGGGATGTGCCAGACAATGCAACGACCCCGCGGCGAAAAGGAGCGCACCACCCAGTGCAAGGGCACCTATGGGATGGGAATGCCCAAAACAGACGTCCGTCCAACTTGGTGGTGGGGTATACGATTCGCGCCTCTTTGTAAACAAGACTATAACATGCAATACTACAAGTAATACAAGGATGCAGGGGTGAAAGATAAACAGAAAAACTTTTCCGAACATTCGGCTTCCGCTTCGCTTCGGCTCCGTCTGGCAAGTCGACCGTTCCTGCGCGCGCCCAATGAGGGCGGGCGGGGGGGGGAGCCTTTACAAAGCAGTTTCCTGCCCGGGGAGCCCCTTTTCAAATCCTCGTCCTGAGCGCTGACGCACGAACACGATCCCTGGTAATTTCTAAATCGTCACCCCGCAGTGCACCACCTCCGCGCTTGTTCTGATGAGCCCCTCTCTGGCCCCCGGGGGCGAGAGGGGGGCACGGTCAAGGTCGGCGGAGGGGCTGCGACAGCGGGTTCACCACAAGAGCCAAACTGCGCCAAGAAGGATTTGTTGGTTACCCTGCTCGTGGAGCTTTGCTGTGTTCCTGCTCGTCAGCATTTGTCACGTGTGCGGAGCTACACTATCAATGCCGCGCTGTCCTGTGGCTGTGCTGTGTTCCTGCTCGCAACACACACCGCCAGAGACGGCGGACAGCTCGAGAGATACAACCAAAAAAGCGTGTTTCCCAATCTCGGTGGTGATGATCATTTACCGTGCTCGGACAACAACTGCAATGCTGGAAGGCGGCACATTTTCAAGATCAAGCTATCGCTCAAGACGTACGACTGCGGCAATTAGGGCCCAGAGTTGCGACTTGTGCAGAGACAGACCAGACTGGTGGACCGCAGCTCCTTTTCATCCTCGGGCTCTCGCTTGAGACATCCGCACATGGTATGACCAGAGCTGCGTCAGGGTTATCGCTGCAGACTCCCTGCACCGCTATCAACATGCAGTCACCGTGCTACTACCATTAGGTCGGGCATGTACTCATACAGGCAGATTTTGGAAGAACAATAAGCATGGTCAACAACTCATCAGCAATAGTCATGAGAGAACGAACAGTCGTCACCAGACAATGTTTACTACTTTTGAGTATCCTTCGTGCAGAGGAACATGCCCGACGTAGCAATACCAGGAGGAACGCCAAATGAGGAACTAAGGGGGTGTTCTGGCCACGGCGAGCCTGGGCCACACACACACACACACAAGTTCCACGACCAAAATCCAAAATAGCGGCCCGAAAACCAGAGAGCCCTCTTGAGCCTGAAGTGGCCCTTACAGTAACTTAGGAGCCCACAAGGGACACTCCACAAGAAGCCCAACCCTGAGACCCCAGGACGTGACTCGAATCTTCGTGTGGGAACGCCTCGCCTTCAATAGCAGAAACCTCGAAACCCAAGACACCCAGGGCACCCTGGAGGCAAGCAGGGTGCTTCGTGGCATGGGTTTCTTCAAGGCCTCCTCGATGGGGTCCGGGTAGATGGGGTCGGAGGATCTCGCCGCATCGCCAATACGTCGGCGACGTCGGCGATGCATCGGCGCCATCGGCGTGAAGAGACTCGGCCTCCAAATCGAGCCGCATCGCCGATGCATCGGCGATACGGCGCTATCCTCCGACCCCATCTGCTCCGACCCCATCTGCTTGTTTCGCCTTAAGATCGGCGGTGGACAAACCTCCCTTTAGTAAACCTCCCTTTAGTGAAAAAGGCCTGGGACCGAAACCGACGGACCTGGACCCGCAAAAATGACGGCCGCGAGGTCCCCTCGCGAACCGAAAACGGCCAATTCGCTAATCGACATGTCAGGGTAGGAGGTCTGTCCACCCCCGATCAAAAAAAACGCCCTGGGCGGTGTTTTAGCGTTTTCTACTTTGGGCTCGTGACAGGCTGAAAGCGCTCAGAAAACAATACGTTGTTTTAGCGTTTTGAGGGTCGTGTTGTTGGTGTCGTGTTGGCGTTTGTTTTGCGTTTTCAAGCTGGAAGCGCTAAACCAATGCCTGACAACGCTAACACAACGCATCATTTGTGTAGCGTGTCTAGTTTTTGTGTTGTGACCTGAAAGCGCTAAAACAATGATGTCCAAGACGCCGAGCTGCAAACGCTGGGCATATTTTTTAAGGCGAGCCAAGCCCATCTGAGAGGCCTAGACCAGGGCTGAACCTAGACGGCGTTTGTCGTTTTCGTTTTGTTTTCGTTTTCCCTCGATTTGTCTTCGATTCGCCTTTATACCGCAAAACAAGATCGAAACAAAAACGGCCCACGAAATCGCCAAAACACACTTTAGGTCCAGCCCTGGCCTAGACGTTGTACCTCTGTGTGTTTCTCCGGGCGGGAAGGACGGAGCGTGGATGCTCTCACGGAGCGGGGCCACGCCAGGGAGCGGCAGGCGCACGGAGCGCTCGTCTCACGAGGGGGGGGGCCTCCCGCAAGGGAGAAGGAACGCTCGCAGGACATGTCTCCCTCGCCATCGCTCGGGCGTCCATTCCCGGTGCATTCTTCGGCTTGGCGCGCGTACGTTTTCGCAAGAGGTACGATAATGCTCCTTGATGGTCTTCGCCGGGGCAGAAATTGAGCATCGTTTATCCGATCCCTAATTATCCACAGCGGCGTGGCCTGGGCCCCACTGGCCGATGTACCCCCCTAGATGGGGATGTAGGCGTTTCCTTCGGGTCTCGAAGGGTATATTCCCAACTGGGGTGCTGAGCTGGTGGGGGTCTGGATGGGGATGGGGATGGGGATCGGTTAAACGATACTGAACAATGCACACATCTGAGCGATGCCAAGCTCCCCCCATCCTCGCCCCCCTCCGACCCCGCCGGCCTTCACGGGCTGCGGGAGCTGACTGCTGTCCCCGAGCTCGAGCAGCGGGAGCCCCTGTCCTGGCGGCGAGGAGGGGGAGGAAGGGCGGGGGGGGGGGCCCGGGGGAGAGGGGGAGACGGGATGAGAAACGAGGAGGGGAGACGAACGCGATATACGATTCATGTTTGTGCGTGGTCGACATGTTCGGGGCCAGGGAAGAAGACGTTGACAAGGTAAGAGAATGTTCCCGTGCCAGCGGTCCCTGATCCACCGCATTGCTGTGCTGAGTCTGGCTCTGGAGCAGCGGCCAGCGCATCGCGTCGCTCGGCTGGGCGTAAGCCTGGAGCGTGAGCAGCAGGCCCGATCTCACTCCCGCTTTGCCATCTCGCCCCGTCGTGCCCCCCTCCTTCCCGTTTGATTGAAGGGGATGTGAAAATGACCCTACCCTGGGTTACAAGTGCTTGGTCTGCCAACCTCCTGGGAAGTCCCAGAGTCTAGGAAGCCGACAGGACGCCGCAAATCACGCAGGGTTTATCCTGTCAGCCCACAGGAGGTTCAGCGCACAGCGTCTCGTGAACCAGGGTAGGAGCGTTTTCTGCGCCATTGATGCTTAGGTGAGCAACAGGGCATCCTGCCCACCCACCTGGCTGCCCTCCCCCAGGAAATCCAGAACGATCATGTTGAGCATCGTCTAACCGATCCCCATTCCCAGCGGCGCGGGCTGGGCCCCACTGGCAGACTTACCTCCCTAGATGGGGATATAGCCCGTTCCCTTCGGGTTTCGAGGGGTGTACCCCCAACTGGGGTGGTGACTTGGTGGGGGTCTCGAAGGGGAGGGGGATGAGGATGGGGATCGGTTAAACGATACCGACGTGTGCCACCGGCTGGTCCTCACACGGCGCCTCCCCGTCGCCGCGCGGAGCGCCCCCCGGTGGATCGCTGCAACTCGGGCCCCAGGGGGGGTCGGCCTTCGAGCTCCCTGGAGCTGGCCCAGAGTCGCGAAGCCAGATCGCCGGGCTGCTTTCCGGAGGCGCGCAAACATGGATTGGCGATCCACGGATTTGGCGCGCTGTCGCCAAATCCATGGATTGGGGGAGGTGCCCTCCCCCAAATGCGGCCAGTGCCGCCCCGTGTGGCGGCGGAAATCCGCGAATTCAAATGGAAACGGGACCCGTCGCTAATCCACGCCCCCTGAATCCATGTTTGCGTCACCTGAGTTTTGCGCGCAAACGCGACACAACTTATAGACCACTCCATACCCATCTGCCCGCCCTCCTCCCTGGACTTCTGACCCTCTGGTTCAGGGCGGGGGCCTGGTGGGAAGCGCACTGAGCTAGGCTGGACTAAACTGGAGACATGCTTGAAATACGGATTACTGTCAGACGTGGGACCCGTGATCTCTTTGAAGAGAATGGTGGCCAGCGTTGGAGGTGGGGGTGCGGTATCTCTCACAAGCGTTTCCACCTCTCCCCGACACTCCTTCCTCCCCCAACCGGCTCCTACTCCGACCGTGGCTCCTTCGTAACAGCTTTGGTCATCCCCACAGCCCTCTTAGGGTTAGGTCGGGCGGATCCTCCATGCGAACTGGCGACGGCCGACACGGAACATGATCAAGATCGGCACTGACAAAATCCCGCGATACCTTGGTCATGGTCAGCGTGTTTCTTCCATCGACCTGACCTCACTCCTGCCCCCCACGGCTCTTCCCTCACTCGGAGGCGCGCAAACATGGATTAGCGATCCATGGATTTGGCGCGCGGTCGCCAAATCCATGGATCGGGGGAGATGCCCTCCTCAAAATGCGGCCGCTGCCGCCTCGCTCGGCGGCGGAAATCCGCGATTTCCCATGGAAGCGGGAACCGTCGCTAATCCACCCCCTTGATCCATGTTTGCGATCGCCTGGCCCACAGCCCTTCCCTCACTCCCCCCTCCCCTCGTCAATGACCCCCACCCAAGCCTCCGACGTCCCGGACTCGCTCCACGCGCGAACCACGGGACTCTCGAACTCTTTCGGTGGGGACTCTGCTCGCACGTGCCGTTTACGGATGGCCCCAGGAGAGCCCCAACACGACCTGGGAAGGATGAACACCGATAGAGATCGTATTTGGTTGTTGCTCAAAACGTCGAGGCCTCCCACTCGCCACGCTTCTCCCCCGCTCATCCTTCTTCTTTATCCGGCCCCCCTGATCTCCAGACGGAGCCCCATGTGGGAAGACAAAGGACGTGCTGCTGCAGAGGCGCGCTCATCCGTTGGATGTCTGCGATCTGCCATGCTCTTGATCCTGCTGGGCCTCCTCCTGCGCATGCTCCTAAGCGTGATCCTGCCATCCCATGCTGCCGTTCATCCTCTCCCCCACTTTCTCCTAGCCGTGTTTCCGAAAGCACTCGCACTCGTGACTCCACCTCCTGCTCCTGCTGGAGCGCCAGCTCCCGCTCATCCTCACGATCCTGATCCTCGCGCGAAGAGGAGGAGGAGCTAGAATACATAGGAATAGAGAGACAGAGGGAGACATACGTACAGACAAGCAAAGACAGAGCAGGCACGAGGTAAGATGGGAACCATCAATGTAACTGCTCTCTCCTCTGCCGTATGCTGCCGCCGTCAACGCCGGTGACGACGCCGACGGCGGCGGAATCGACGACGGGGACGCCGACGGCGACGTCAATAACGACGACGGCGGCGCCCACGACCTTCCAGGCCGCGAGCGACGATGGCGACGATGGCGACGCCGACGTCGACGGCGACGTCGACAACGACGACGGCGGCGACTGCGACCCTCAAAGGCGACAACAACGACTGCGACGTCGACACCGACCACGACCACGACGACGTCGACAACGACAACGACGACGACGACGACCAGCGGCGGAAGGCGGCCTCGAGGCTCGCCGGCTTGGAGGTCGGGGTGGGCGTAGGAGGCCACAGCGAGCTGGGCGTGCAAGCGCCGTGCGGCGCCTCCGAGCGCGCGGGGCTGGGAGGGGTGGAGGAGGGGGGGGAGGTTAGATCGGGAGGGGCCAAGAGGGGGCGTCCAAGAGGGAGGGGGGCGCAAATCATGGCCGGCGGCACGTGCGCGGCCCAGGGGGGGGGGCAGGGACGTAATGAAATAGGAGGAGGCGCCATGGAATCTGAGAAAATGTCATGGCCCACGCCATGATATCCACGCCCCCTAGTCATCACCCCCCTCTTGGCCGCTCCATAGAGTGCTGCGAGTCTATCCGCCGACCCCCGCTCGCTGGGGGTGAAGAGGCGTGTGCGACAGTGGGCTGTCCTCCTCTCCGTTGCCCCCTCCCTTGGGGTCAAAAGTGCCATTCTAACGGGGGAGGAGGGGGAAGGGCGTCAACGCACCCCCCGGGCCTCCGGAGCCGCCAGAAAGCCCCCCAAAAGTCCAATGGAGCCCGGGAAAAGTATGGCTCTTTTTAACGATGTGGTTGTCTCGTCATGTCTCTTAAAGATTGGCCATTGCCTGCTTATTGCTTTATGGGTTACTGTGTATTTGTTTGCCCACCGTTTTGCGAATCCGTTCTGCGTACCTGTTTGATGTAGCTCTCTATGAACTGTTGCTTGCTTGCCTGTTTGCCTTGCACTCTGTGTGTGTCGTTCTTTCTCTCTCTCTCTCTCTTTCGTTATCCCTCTGTTGTTTGTTATGTCACTTCTTGTCTGTAGCGTGTCTTAGGGTCGCACTCGACCAGAAAATCCCCACCCGCAACAGACAGAATCACAAAAAAACATAACAACACAACAACAACAACAACAACAACAACAACAACAACAACAACAACAACAACTATAATTTCGATACTGTTCGCCCTTATATGCTCGACTGACCAATAACGCGTATTTCCCAAACCCTCAATACCCGCCCTCTTCGTCTTCGATCGAGCCCTTTTTGGGGGGTATACCTTTCTTCCCTGCAGGCCACGCCCCGGCAAACGGCGGGGCGGCCGCGGACCGTCGGCCTGGCCAGCGGCAGCGCTGATCGGCGGGGCGGCCGCGGACCGTCGACCCGACCCCAAGAGGGACGGACAGGGGACCGACCACGACGACGACGACGACGACGACGACGACGTCGAAGACGACGGCGACGACGACGACGACGGCGACGACGAGCGAAAGCGAGAGCGAGAGAGAACGACAGCAGGGCCACGAAGGGCACGAAGTAGGCCACGAAGGGCGACAGCGGGGACACGAAGGGAATGCGTATGGGGCCACGAAGAGCGCGAACGAGCGGGGGCCACGAAGTGCAGATAATGCGGGGCCACAGAAGGCAACTATGGGGCCACTGAGGGTAGCAACTGGGCCACGTAGGACAGTGCGGGGGGCACAAATGGCGACAGCGGGGCCACGAAGGGCATGCACATGGGGCCACAACGGGCGCGACTCCTGGGTGCCTGGGTGTCGGGAGCGCGGCGCTTGGGCAAATTGCAAAAAATCCAGCGCAAGGCCATTCTTCAGTTAATTGCAAGCGAGTCTCCAGCGAGAGCGCGACTCCAGAGCGCCGGGAGAATTCCTGAATAAATTGAAGTCCCAAGCGAGAGCGCGACTCCTGAATCAAATGCAAAGAAGTCTTGGGCGGGAGCGGGGGTCCTGGCTAAATTGTAAAGAAATCTGAAGCGGGAGCCGTTGTTGTTGTTGTAACCCAGGGGCCAGGGGCCCAGTTTGAGCAGGAAGACTTTCCCTGTCAAAAAACATGGCGCGAGCGTCGAGGGGCACACTTAGATTGAGAAAAACAATATGCACCAGTGGGGGGGGATCAACAATAATTATTCTTCAGAACTGAAAATTCAATAATAACGACAAGAAACAACAACAACAACAACAACAACAACAACAACAACAACAACAACAACAACAACAACAACAACAACAACAACAACAACGACAACGACAACGGAAAGGCGTGCACTCTGGCCCCGGTCAGAGCCGGAGCCTCCGGTGTCACTCCGCCAATGGACGGGCGCACGCTCCGGCCCCGTGGGTCAGTTGGCCTGCGGCGCTGTGTGACGACGACTTCTCCGACCCTGCGAAAGGCCATCTGCGGCGGCTTCGCGCCGCGGTGGGCAAACGTACACTCTTGCCCCGTATGCCCCGTCATCTGTGCTGTTCCCTGCACAAAAGACGCCCCCCGTGCGCTACCCCCTTTTCCGGCCCCGTGTGCAGCTAAGACACCCTCATGGACCCTCACGACGACGACGGCAGCGGCGACGACGACGACGACGACGATGGGGATCCTGAGGAGCCCTCGGGAGCCCTGAGGAGTCCTGCGGTGTCCTTATGAATCGGTGGGGCCCTTGAAGAATTCTAAGATATCCCAAGGTACCCTGAGCAGGCCCGCAACATCCTGAGCAACCATGGCGAGATCCTGAATAATGCGTGGGGAATCCAAAAGATTTCTATGAGGTCCTGAGAAATCCTGGGCTCTCGGGAAGAATCCGGAGGAATCCTGATGGGTCCTGACGAATCCTGAGGAGTCCTGATGAGTCCAGAGGAATCCTGGGGGATCCTGAGGAGTCCCTGTGTTTCATGGGGATTCCTGTGCAATTCTGACGAATGCTAAGGGGTCATGAGAAATCCTGACAGGTTGAAGGGTGCCCTGAGGGGATCCTGAACAATCCTGTGGGATCGTAGGGACTCAGCAGGCATCCTGGAGAACCTTTGAGGAAGATCCTACAGCATCCGTGCGGACCCCGAGGAGGAAGCCATCGGACTCTTTGGAAGGGGGGGTGGTCCTGGGGAACCCTGAGGGGTCCTTGGGGGTCCTGAAGAATTTTCAAGTGTCCTGAGGAGCCCTGGGGGGTCCTGAAGAATTCTGAGATACCCTGAGGAATCCTGAGCAAACCCTCGGGATCCTGAGAAACCCTGGGGAGATCCGGAAGAACCCTTGGGGGTCCCACGGCTTCCTGCGGGATCCTTGGGACTCGGGAAGAATCCGGAGGAATCTTGAAGGGCCCAGAAAAATCCTAGCGAATCCTAAGGAGTCCTGATGAGAGCCCAGAGGAAGCCTTGGGAATCCTGAGGAATCCTGTTGGGTCCTGGGGAGCCCTGGGGGATCCTGAAGAATACGAAGGAGTCCTGAGGAATCCTGAAGGGCACGCTGAGGGGATCCTGAGGCATCCTTAGGGCTCCTTCGGGGTCTTCAGGCCTCCTGAGGAACCTTGGGGGGGTCCAAAGGAATCGTCGTGGATCCTGAAGAAGAATCCATCAACTCGTTTGGACGGGGGGGTCCTGGGGAATCCTGAGAAACCCTCGGGGATCCTGATGAGTCCTGAAGTGTCCTGAGGAACCCTGACGAATCCAAGGGAATCCTGATGAGCCCAGAAGAAGCCAAGGGGATCCTGAGGAATCCTAGTATGTGTTGAGGATTCCTGAAGAGCCCAGCGGAACCCTGAAAAACCCGAGGGAGATCCTGAAGAACCCTTTGGGGTCCCAGGGGTGCCAGGGGTGCCTGTGGGATCCTGACGAACCCTGGGGTCTCGGGAGGAATCCTGAGGAATCCTGAAGGATCCTGACGGATCCTGACAAACCCTGATGAATCCAGAGGAAGCCTTGGGGATCATGATGGATCCTGCGGAATCCTGAAGAATGCTAGGGAATCCTGAGGAATCCTGAGGGGTAGCCAGAAGGGATCCTGAGGAATATGTTGGAAACCTAAGGAGGCCTTCAGCATCCTGAGGAATCTAGGAGGATCCGAAAGAGCGTGATCCACCGCCGCTTTCCAGAAGATGCCCCCCTCTCTTCCTCCGGAACCCGGGGTTCCCCCCCTCCGAAAATCCCCCCCCCCCCCCTGCTGGACCCCCCCCCCTCCCCAGGCAAAACCCCCCCCCTCCCCTAACCCCCTCCCCCCCCTCCCCCCCGAAAGCCGGGGGGGGCACTACCGGTTCGAACCCCCCCCCCCTCGAAAACCGGAAGGGGGGTCACTACCGGTTCGAACCCCTCCCCACCCCCCTCACCGCCAGCAAACGACTCCCGGTCCCTACCACCGTCCGCACCACATCCCCCACTGTTGTTCCCAGCACCACTGTCCTCACCACCACTGTCCCCACTGGTCCACCACCGTCCCTACTGTCCCCACCAGTGCCCCCACCACTGTCGCACTGTCCCCACTGTCCCCGCCACTGTTCCCACCACGGTTCCACTCTCCCCACTTTCTCCACGGCCCCAACCACTGCCCTACTATCCCCACTGTCCCCACTGTCCCACTGACTCCTCCGCTGTCCCACTGAGCTGTCCCACTGTTCCCACCACTGTCCCCACTGTCCCCACTTCTGTCCCCACTGTACCTCTGCCCCATTGTCCCACCGCCGTCTTCGCCACCGCCTTCACCACTGTCCCCACCACCACTGTACCCTCCACTGTCCCACTGTTTCCACCTCATTCTCACTGTCCCCACACCACTGTCCCCACCACCACCGCCCCACCACTGTCCACTGTTCCCACTGTCCCCACCGTTGTCCTCACCATTGTCCCCACCACTAATGCAAGGAAACGATTAAAAAAAAACTTTTTGGGGCGGACGATTTAAAAAATGTTTCGCGGGCCTCCTCGCCCCCGCAATAGCGGGGGGGCAGGGCAGGCAGACGGGGGGCTGACAATTCCGGGTTGCCTGGAAGGCCAGGGGGGGGGGCACGAGGTGGCGATCCAGGGCGCGGGGGCGAGGGTGGTGGACGGGGTGGTTTTGCAGGGCGAGATCGTCCTCCTCCTCCTCCTCGTCCTCCTCCGCCCCCCCCTCGCCCTCCTCCTCCCCTCCTCCTCCTCGTCTTCCTCCTCCTCCTTTTCCTCCTCCTCCTTTTCCTCCTCCTCTCCTCCTCCTCCTCTTCCTCCTCCCCTCTCCGGCTCGGCGGGCAACCCTAACTCCAGATCCGCCCTACTTTGGTTTTTTTTTCCAACTTAGAATTGCGTCGGAAATCCACCTATAAGGAGCCGAAAAAGTAGGGCGGAAATTTCTGCACCCAACATAA